GTGTGTCCGCCACAGATAAGGCACACTGCGACCTGCTTCATATGCCAAGTTTGTTTGCCAAGACAAAGTGTCAGTCAGACAGCCATGTGGAGAGAGCAGTGCCAGGCTGGACAGCTTGGACCACATGGACACAGGAAAACAGTCTTCCCTGCAGGCCAGCCATAAGGAGGACATCATTTAGCCCAATTAATTGCTGCTTAAGGAGTTTTCCCTGTTGTTTGACGTGAGCATCATTTACCTGATATGGATGGGTTTTGATCTTTTTAAATGATATTGCCCACATTTTCCATATTTCAGACTGATGCACATTTTTTAAAAGGTGAAAAATTCCTACTCAAAACCTGACAAGACAAGTGTTCACTGTTTTGGCGGTTAACTATTCAACTCTTCAGTGAAACACCATGGTATACTGTTGCATGAGAACCGTTGAGGTTATGGGGCACTCCAGGAATTTAGCACTGGACGTAAACTGAGGGACTTTTGCAGGGGGGATTAAAATGGTCAAAACTAAAGCAACCAACATCCATATATTCTGACTATTTATCACACAATGTGGAAAATCTTTGTTAAGCACCTTTAAGCAATATTTTTTCCTGTTCAAAAACTGAAATATGGAGAAGTGACAGCCTACCTTCATACTGACAGATTCAGTCTCAGTATTGTTACTATACAGTAGATGAGGCAGGTAACAACCAGGAAATATTTAGGTACCACAAGCAGACAAACATTTGGAGTGGAACGCTCTGCAAACCACAACAGCAGATTTGGCAAATGAGTGGAGAAACGCTGCTGGTCAATGTGCTTGGCTTCGCCAGGGTGCTGGGACCCTGTTATATTTGCCAGTTAAAAATAAATAAAAATTGTATTCTGCATTTCTCAAAGATTTTAACTTGCTTGCATGTGGTGCGTTACAGTTAACGTTATTAAACTGTATCTAAACAGCACTTACAAGACAAAAATCATTAAAAGTTTAATATCAGGATCATAAATCAGTGTAATAGTGCAGCTGTAATCTCGCTGCAGCATCCTGCTGCCTGAGCTGTGCACTCCTGTTGATTTCACCATAAGACTCTTCTCCTGATTAAACTTCTATGATACTGTCTGTTAATAACTTTGTTTTTTGGTAATCAGTTGTGTCAATGAGCAGCAGGCTGTGTGTGAAATGCTTTAAATGCAGACGCTCTGGGGTAAGAAAAATCTGTCGTGACAGTGACTCGGCTGTGACTAATTACAGGCCCTGCAGCTCCACGCCCTGCTTCTTCAAAAGGCTGTGAGTTTCTGTGTTTGGAAAATACAATTAAATAACAGGCTGCTGAGGAATCTTGCCTCTGAGTCTCAGGCAGCCCTCACTGGTCCCTGGATGCCGTGTTCGGTTTACATAAATGTGGTCTTGACCTTGTATGCCATGAGCTCTTTGCACATGTCTAAAGTAAATATTATTCTCTCCGTGTCTGTAGTTGAACTAGTCCAAATGTCGTTGTGGCTAATGACCTTTCAATGAGAACAAAGGAGCTGTACTGATTGAGGTATGTGAAGGATAATATGGGCAGCAGCACCCCTGTTCACATACATACCTAATGGCCTGTATTATAAAGAATATCATGCTGAGAAATTACAGCTTAGTGAAATGTACTGCAGGTCTTTTCTGTTGGTATTCTAAAATTAGTACCTATTATGTGCTTGTTGTTATTGAACATTTCATATTTTAATTATGCTTATCAAATATTTAGCTAGCGTACAAAACACTGCAGCTCCCAAAAAAAATGTTTACAGCACTGCAGTGAGCATACCGCACATCATCTTATCAGTTTGTCAAACTCACGTTTAATTAATGTCATCTCTCCAACGTTTGTTTCTGCAATCTAAAAAAAAGCCAATGCAGTCAATCATACTTGTTTGTTAAGTTGCCTCTCAGCTGGTCTCAATCTATCAACTTTATGTTGTTTAACTTGTGATGGTGTTGGTCTTGGGTATTTTTTAAAAGCACCCAAAACTGAAATATTGAATAGTCAATGATATGACAGTAAGCTTATCTAAAAATGTAACCTACAACACAAATGTGGAATAAAGGTGCTACGGTAAGCTGGGTTTTTAATCATTTGTACTATTTCAACTGCCCATGTGACTTTGAATAGTTTTATTACTTCAGATGTAGCATTTCTATCAAAGTTATTTTAACTGTCAACTTGTGTTTTCTCTAACTGTATCTTAACCTGAACTCAACCTGAGCCCCATGTGTTACCTCAACACTCCTTATGTTACTCCACAACTCTGTCATCCCCTATAGTGTGTACAAACCTTATGGAGAAAAGTCTAAATGCTCATTTTTTTTCCAGATTGTATCTTCAAAATGAATCTAATCTTAGTCTTAACCCTAGTGACAGATGGCGGATAAATTAGAAATATTATCCATTATGCTACTGGAGGAGGAAGAAGACCAGGTTCTCTTGGGATCTCGGTGTGGTGAGCACCAAATCTGACATATACTGACTACCAGCTCATGGTTACCAAAACTGCCAACTGCTGCTAGCATTAAATTAACTTGAGTTGTTCTTTCTCCCTGGTCTTTTACGATTTGTCTCAGCCTACTTCATTGTAAAGAGCTAAAGAACAGACAAAAAAAAAACAATACTGGCATGCCCATACGTGTATGAAAATACAGTATGTCTTGGTCACTGTTTCTGCTCTGCACACCAACATTGAAGCTTTTCACCTGAAGTGCAGCTACGCTGAGAGAAATGAAGGAGCAACAGACACAACCCTCATTTTCTGCAAAGATATAAGTTCATCTGAGGCTCAAAAGAGGTTGTTCTGAAAGAATAAGGCGATGGGCAAAAAAGCATTCAATAGACTTTGGCTGAGAGATCATGAAGGGACCAACTTGTGGCTAATCACAATCAGAATATAAACATATGTACACAGTTTGTGAAGCTGAGAGTCACATGTACTGTACTGTCTTAGGCCACCATAATTGTACTGTTTTAGCAAGGCTGTAATGATAATTTATATTTGTGTCTCATTTTTGAGATATAACCAGAGAATACAGGAAATATGTACACAAAAAAAAAACCCAATGGCTTCTACAGGCCAAAGCCAGTATTTAGTGTGACCTCCACTTGCACTTAGCACAGCTTGAATTCTTTTGGGGAGACCGTCTTGAAACCATGACAGACCCTCCACCATGTTTCACTGAAGGCTCCAAGCACCAGCCTCTGGTCCCCACAAGGAACGCCGAGTCCCCACAATGTGAGTGTGGTGAGACAATGTAGGTAATACAAAGGCGCGTGCGCGCACACACACAGACACTCAAACAGCACAATTTGTAATTACAAGCAGGGTGAAGAAATGCTTTCTCACACAGGCACAAAAACATATAAAGGCTTTTTAAATTACTTTTTTGTCTCAGCAGTTTTATTCAGACTGGCAGAAAAGTTCAAGATGTCTGCCGCTGCTCCCTCCCCCCTGTGTTCAGCTTAGGAAACAGCAAACAATGCGGTTGCTATGGGCTCATCTGGGCGCCCTGAGACCACATGTCACCAGACGTTTACACAGCAGACAACCATGTTACAAATAGTTCAGTTTATGGGCCTACCTACTCCTCCTTTTGCAAACAAGCACTGAGATAGTGAAATTCTTACACTTCCTTGCTCCAGGAGGTCATACAGATTAGTTAGATCCAGCCTTTGCAAGAATAGCTTCATCACAAACCAGTGACAATCACACTAAGGAAATTCTTTTAGATGAGTTAAAAGGGACTCGATGTAATTTTCTAACCTCAGATCCTCAGTAAAACCTTTCAGCATCACACTGCAAAGATTTTCTTTATCAAACTAAACATAAAATCATATCAGTGCTTACTTTTGCAACTGATCAAAATGTTGCATTAAATTTCAACAAACTCTTTTAACAAGATCAAGAAAAGTGTGCACAGACTTATCAAAATATAATCAGAGGCTCACCAGTAGCAGTATATTCAGCACAGCTCAAAACACACATACAGTACTATCAAAAAATACATTTCTAAATAAATCAGTTTCCATATTCTGTGAGTTCTGAGCAGAACTCTTAACCAGTGAAAGTTGAAGTGTGTTGAGGAGTGCATATAGATCTTTTCAGCTGTTTTGGTATTCTCCAGTTGACTGGAAAACTGGTTACAGAGAACTTTAGGCACAACAGATGAAGCTGTCACTTTTGGAAACTGTTTTTCTTCATTAAGGAAAAATGAGAACCAGTAACCATCCATTTGATAGAACACAACTAGAATATTCCACCTCTCCAGACTGAGCGACCAACTCTACAATTACTGTTCAACCTAAATGCAACTGACTTGACTTTACAAGACTTGTTTGTTCAGCTTTCAGGCTACCGTAGAGCAATTAAAACCTTGATCTTAGTCTCCGGACAAAATTTTGAGCTTAATCGTTTAAGTCATCTATTAAAAAAATATCCAAATCATTCCCTAGTTCCAGCTAGTCTGATGTGAGGGTTTGCTGGTTTTATCTATGTTTGGACTGTTGGCTGGACAAAACAAGACACTGATTTATATTACCTTGACCTTTTTTTTTTACTTTTTACTTTTTAACAGTTTGACAATTAAACCCACACTGTTAAATGAAAATTACTGAATAAATAACTAATAAAGGAAGTAACAGCTGGGTGAAGCCCAGGAAAGATTTAGAAGCTCTTCTGGTACAAGATTTCCATCACTTTGAGAAAACCAAACAATATCAATATCTGCCCAAATCTGAATTATTTTGATACTGTGCAGAAAGCAAGTAGATGAGAGTCAGGAAGGGTTAGGGTTTGACATTGTGTGACAAACTACAACTCTAATGTAAAATTATCCCAAAAGTAAAAGTTAAAATGTTAAAAGGAAAACTTTGGCGTGTTCCAAATCAGCTCAAAAACTGACTACAAACCCTGAAACTGTACTGAGTAGATTATTTAAATTTGAATAAACTGAATAACAGCAGTTTCCTGGTGAGGTGTTGCTGACTCACCAGTCTCTCCATTTCCTGCTCACGAAGCCTCTCCTCTCTCTGTCGTCTGTGGTACTCCAGCAGCTCGTCCTCATTGTCACTGATCTCTGTGATGCTGTTTTTCCTTTCCCTCATCCCAGGATGGGGTCTCCCTGCAGACATCTTCCTCTGGGTCCTGGGACTAGCTACAGGGGATGAGCCAGGCAAGGAGCCCAGACTGTAAGCAGGAGATAGGGAATTCCCAAAGCTTGCCTTCCGTACCCCTGCACCACCATTACTGCTGTCCATCATCATAGAGGTAGGTGATGGACTGCGGGCTCTGATCCCCCTGTTGCACATTAGCTCCTCTGATGTGGACCCACTCTTACGTCGGAGCCTGGGACTCTCTGGAACAAGCTTGCTTAGACTTGAGGGGCTATCTGGAGTCCTCAAGATAGGGACTGTCCCTGGTAGTGCCCCTGGGAGCACTGGGACCCCTCTCCGAGCCATGGAGGGGCTAAGAGGGGGCAGTTCTCTCATACTGCTGCTCGCTCCACTGCCCCCATTCAGCTCCAGGTTCCTCCTGGCCAAGCGAGGGCTTTCAGGGGGCTGCAGCAAACGTGGATGCTGCTGAAGTGGCGATCCTTGGATGATGTGGACAATGGGATCCAAGGGAGGTTGGAAAGCTCTGGTAGATTGGGAAAGCTGCCTGGTGGGGCTGGAGGTGAGGGAGCAATCAGCTAGATTAGTTTGCTCTCTGAAAGGGCTGGCAGGCCTTTCCTGGAGTACTGTGGCTGTCTTGGTCCTGGGACTGGAGGGCGATGGGGATGGACAGGTAGGGAATTTGGAAGTGAGTCTGGGGCTACTTGGCACAATGTTCCTACTACAAAGAGATTCATTAGAGGACAGAAGAGGTGTCTGTCGAGGGCTCTCAGACCCATCTTGGTTTAGTCCTCTGCGGCTTGGCTTGGGGCTTGGAGGAGTCTCTAAGGCCTTCCTCTGTAGCCTGGGGCTTTCCGGAACCTTCTGGGCTGCACCACCACTGCTGAAGTTAGGCAGTATAGTCCGTGGCTGTGGTACAGGGGGAGGCTGTGAGGTGAAGTTGTAGCTAGAGGAGCGTACAGGCACTGGTGGCAGAGAAGCACTCTGGTCCTGGGGTCCTCCACTAGGAGATGGGCTGGTAAAGCTCCCACTGCTGGCCGCTGAGGGTGAGGAGAGGGGGGAAAACGGAGGGGACATGTTCTCATAGCTGGAACCCACAGACATGGCCCCTGGGCTGGTAGGAGGGGACAGCAGATACCGGCCTCCTCCATTGACAACAGGCGACAGTGGGGAGTGGGCAACAGGCTGGCCTCCGGGAGGCTTTTTTGCCTCAGAGGAAGAAGGCTGGGGGTCATCCATGACTAGGGAGTCCATGATGTCCTGCAGATCCTTCTCAATAGAGCTGACAATTGCACTGTGCTCAGACTGGACTCTCTCTCCAGGAGCTGGGGAAGACTGGGCTGAGCTTGCCTGGTGATTCCCATTGACCAAGCTCTCTGTGTCTAACAATGGAGAAAACAGAAAACCATTATCAGACTTTGAAAACAAAAAGATGCAATGGGTATACAAGAGAATATATTCAAGTTTAATCTTTTGCACAACAAAATGATTTTTGACCCGAAGAGTTAAAAACAAAAATTTAACCTGTGTTCCAAACCGTTAAATCTCATATAGTGAAAATGTGTGCACAGTAGCTCTATGTTGAAATGGCTCTGTTTTAATTGAAGATACAACAAATATCAATGGGCAACATTTAGCCCATTTGTCACAGCCAGCTCATTCATTTTATCCCCCATCATCAGCATTGGGGGTTTGGATGCTGAGAGGTCTGCTATAAAAGGTGTAGGGTCCTCCAACACAGCCGTCATTCTCTATCGTTCATCAAAATCATGTGCTTGTTCACAATTCTCTTCGACACTGGCCTGAGCTCCTAACATAATCACCTTCAGTGCCCCTTACCCCAAGAGTGTACTATTAGATTATCTATGAATAAAAACAGGCAAAACAGAGCTATGAAACTCCACGCATTTTCAGAACTTTTTTCATATTTGTCTGTATTTTTCCTTGCAGGGTGCCCACTGTAGCCTTGATGAATTTCTATCTATCTATTTCTAAATCTGGGGTGCACTGTTGACCACAAAATGCTCTTTCCTTCCTGGTTTGGTTAGAATACTGTGCAGAAAATATCTAGAGGTTCACAAGCATCACTCCCAGCTGGACTGAACAACATTTTACGCATTTGTAACACAATTCAGACAAATACATTGAAAAAGTCCCTAACTAAAGAATTTAACAACTTTCCATCAACTTCATTAACTTTGTCCCTATTATTTGAGGTATTTTATGCTCAAAAACGCCAAAGCCCATGTTTTCCAAGCCAGTGTACTGTAGAAACCGGGCAAAACATTTTAAGTATGAGGTCAAAGGAGAACTAAGAAAAGAAGGAAGGGCACAGACCAGCAGATGAACAGACAGACAGACAGCCCTGCGCACTGGATGGGATAAGGAGAAAATGTGCCTGCATAACCCAATTACTGTGTGGCCCGAAAGCAAGGTGGGACACAGGCCGGGTAATCTAATCTTAACCAGCTCACTTTAATGTCAGCATAGTAGATTATTACAACAGAAATGCACAGCCACATGGGAAATTCACCAGCATGGCCTTGAGGCAGGAGTCAGAGCACAGTTTTATTAATGCTAAATGAAATCCGCTTAAATGGACTTGTTGTCTTGAGGATAACTGCAGCATGGTCTCATCAGCACCAACACCCAGAGGTAGTAGAAGATAATAGAAGAATATAGCTGTCATGTTCCATGGTGTTGTAAAAACATTACAAATCGTGACAAATAACAGTGGAATGGAGTAGATGTAAGACAAACAGAACAGCATTAAATGATTATTAACAACATTAAAAGTTGAGTAAATGATGTCAGAGGAAGATGCTCCAGTAGCACCGCACTAAAATATAAATGCTTGGCAAATAATGCATTAGCTGTGCTTGTTCATCAGAGATGGGAGCAGCTTCCTGCATGCTCCCCTGTAATGACTCTTCACACAGTGAAGCTGTGCCTTCATGACGCTTGGCCGCAATTAAATCTGATGACATTTTCATGGAAATTATACAGCAGTACTATTTGGAGGTTGTCACAATATATTTTGTTCATTGAGCTCTGCATGAATGTCAGTGTCACATCGTTTTTCAATGAAAACAAATCCGCTAGATTCTCATATACAGTGAAAAACGAGGGGGGTGGGGTGACAAAAATAAATGCAAACCGTTTGCTGAGGGAAAGCCCATGTATGATGTCATGGGAAACGGACTCAGAAGACGATCGCCTCCAGTGCACCATGCCAAACTGCATTTAAAAATCAGATAACCTAATGTTAGCTTAGACCTCCCGGTAAAATGGTTATTCTGAGACAGCATTATTTAAGAAATGTTATTAGAGATGAGGACCTCAACAATTCGGCGTCAATGCCATCATCCATAAGCGTTACAGTAGCTGCATTACGTTTGAAACATCTGTCAATGTGACCCAAGCAAAAACACATTTTCGAATTATGGGCATATTTTTTTATCACTTGTTTTCTTAATAATAACGTAAATTGGAATGGACCGTATTAAATGTGAGATGTCGTACGCTATGTGCACATTCCCAGATAAGCAAATGACCATTAAACCGACAAATTCTGCATGGAGTTTGGCGTGTAACCGGCTCATATCACTTCTCTCGCCCAAAGCTCAGGCATTATTAAGCAGTAGGGTTACTCACATGAAGGGACAAAAGTGCCACCTGGTCAGTGTCAGTACGGTTCACCTGCTATATGACACACAGCGAGGCTCATATTCTCTGGACACCGGTAACAGACCGGGTGTGACAGAGCCCTGCCGTGCCTGGCTCCACCGGGCTCCACACACAGCCAGGGAGACCGACCGACCACCGGGGTGATGATTCAGCCGGGGGTTGGGGTGGTAGGCTCTGCCACTGCCTACGGTACAGCTTGTGTCAAGTTACATGAAACGTAACACGGCTTTTCCGGTCACAACCACCAAAATAGAGCTCTAACTAAATTTAAGCTCGCCTGGGAATTATTTTTGTACTGCAACATGCTGTCAACATTAAGAAATAGCAAATAATAAAAGTATATTGTAATATCCGTTCCTGTGCGACAAGGAGTCCGTCTCGACTGCTGCAAAGGGCCATTTCCACCCAATGACTAAATGTTACGTTGTATTTTGTAGGTGTACTCGTCTTACTTCCGGTGCCGTGGCTAATTTGACTGGCTCTTCCTGTCCACGGTGCTGTGAATTACTGCGAGATTTACAGCTGTTTTAAAGAGTAAGCATCTGATTTATGGCTTGTCACTCTTTACTTTCTCTCTAATCCAGATTTTGTCACTTTTAGATGAGACATAAACATAAACAAATTACCCCACTGAACTGTTACTATAATGGCAATTTACTGAAATGAAAAAGTAGAAGGTTTCTGGGTGAAATGAGCTGATACTGGACAATAAATTGATACAGACTTGTCAGCAGACATCATACTATAATTAAGTCTGATTACTAGAGCAAGACATTTTCTTAAACAAGAATAACTTTCAAAGAGAGAAAAATGTTTTGAGAGTCCCAAGGCAGTGTCTCTCCCTCCCCCCAAAACTCATCATGACACTTTTCAAAAACAATGGTGGATGAAGTATTTACTTTGCTGAAACACAGAAATACTGCAATATAAAAACACTGAAAGTACAATTCCTGTTGTGATAATGCCTTGAAAAAAAAATAAAACGAATGTCCCAAAATTAAAAGGTTTATTACCAAAATATACATAAAGTACAACCCCAAATCAGAAACAGTTGGGAAGGTATGTAAAATCAAACTTAAATCTGAAAATAGTGATGCGTAAATCATCTATGGACCCTATATGACTGTTAAACTATTATATATTACATGACTGGACTATTACATATGTGTGAGCAGAATTCTACTGCAGTAGCTGGTCAAAGTACATCAGGGTTTTATACACAGCTGATTCTATGGTAGTGCATCATATTTTATAAGCTCATCTGTTTTGTATGTAAAGTAATGCAGTGGGGTACAAAGTACAATACTTCCCTCTTTATAGAAGAAAGAAAGGGTGAAAGTAAAGAATGACATAGCATGAAATGGAAATACACTTCAAGTACTGTATCGTACTGGAGTAAATGTACTTGACTGTACACTGGGAATGTAATACAGCCTAAACAAAATGGAAAAAATTGTCTAAAACTGCCAAGTTCTTATGATGAACACATTTTTCATTGCATAATAAAAACATTTGAACATCAGAGGCTCAACAGGTGGTGCCATAGTGCAGCCATAACCACATTCAGCTCTGCTGTTAGCAGCCAAGCAGCCAATTACAGATACCACAGCCAAATCACTGGGAGATAAAGACCTTTTATTAGAAAAGCAAAGCTAACACATGGAAGGGCAGTGGGTGGGTGCAGGAAAGGACTGAAGGGGGAAACGCAGAGAGTGAGGGTGGAGAAAATGGCAGATAGCAGAATGAAACTGAAGGTTTATAAATAGCTTCTGAAAAAGATACTGTAACCCCAGTCGCCTGGCACTTTAAGTAAGCAGCTCAGGGCCACAGTGTCGTCTGCTGGCCTGGCAGAGAGGCACAGGAAGCGTCCAATCAGTGAAGAGGTGCTAGCTGAAAGACGGCTGGCTGAGGGCATGGCCAGTGGCTGTCACTGACCTGGCAAAGCTTGTCAAACTAGACAACAGACAAGTGAGTAGACCTGGCATCACTGCAAAGCTGTGTTTCACATGCTCAGCACATCAGCACAGGAGGAGGACATGTTCAATACAAAAATTTGATTTTGCACAAATTTACTAAATCGGGCACTCAAATACTGCAGTTTCAGCAGAGACAGAGCAGAAAAGTCTGCATGCGTTTGCTGTGTTTCAACAAGACAGCAGTGAGCAGGCTGGGAGAGACTAAATGAAATGGTCTGGAAGAGCACGGATCAGTGTACAGAGGTTTTCTCTTTACAGCCTGGCCCTGTGGAAATCAGCTTTAAATTTTCTATGGGACAGTCATAGCCAGTTAACTGCCTGGAGTCAAGCACGATCCTGTAAACTGAAGCGTGTGTACGTCTAGTGTAACTGTTCACATCACAGCCGGATTAGCCAGAGGACTCTAGTGTGCAGGCTTTATAGCCCCAAAATATAAATTGCAAAAAAGCCTGAAAAAGGAACTGACCACAATAATGCATATCAGCAGGTTTTGTCCCCACTGTTTGTGTATTATAAATTGATATCATTGTTTTATTTCACACGAAAAAGCTGTCAAATTTAACATTCTGATGTAAACATTAGGTCAGTTAGGTTTAGTTGGGTTTGCCCTCCATAACAGCTCTAGCTGTAGCATTCATACACAGATAAGAAGTGTAATTATTTCCAAGCAGATATGAAAGATATGCCTACCTTATCATGGGAGTGGCATAAGCAGTCTTCATCTGAATACAGCTCAGGAATGCATAATTGAGGGGAACAACACATGTCTAAACAACGGAAGGGTTTCATTACTGGATCAGAAAGCCCACAGCAGGCAGCACGCCTCTGTGCTATACTTATCCCCTGGTGGCAGGCAGTGTCACCACCAAAAGAAGGGAAATAACAAGAAGCTATGAGAGATCCCTGGTAGCAGAGCTGGTCAAGAGGAGGCACACTTACTCTACCGAGCCTGGCAGGAAGAGCATTTAAAACGCACACACACACACAACAGGCTAAAAACTTTGCCTGCAGACACAGAGGAATGAGATTCCCATAAGCATGGAACTCAGGGCCAGAACCCAGCTGGGCGACATTTAGGTAGAGTTCAGTGGGTACTGCCTTTTAAAGGCTGACAGTGACAACAACAAAGCTGCAAACAGGAGTGACACAATAACAATCATAATAAAAAACTGAATCCGCAAAGAAAATCAAATAACATTGCAGGATAACAAATCAGTATACTTTTTAGTCCCTGCAGACTGCTTTGTGGTGTAACACTTCCTCCACAGTCAGGCTATAAAGGAGGAAAAATGTCTGGGGTTTACTGTTTTACAGCCACCTGTAAAATACCCTTCCCTGCTGCTCCACCTCACCACCAGCCTGTTGGCCTCTGCAACAATCTGGCCTGTTCATTCATACAGGCCACGCTGAAAGTGAAACTTCAGGAGGGAACTGCTCTTTTTAGGCTTTACTATTCATGTGACAAATGGTCAGTGTGTTTATTGACACTAGGCCTGTGTTTTTGGATGAAATAATCATGGATATGAAGTTCTGGGCAGTACTGTTGAGTGAAACAGGCAGAAAGTACAGTAAACACACAGGTGAATAAGTGTGATATAAGAAGCAAGTGGGTACCATACAGTACCTGCACATAGTCTGTAGTCCCCACTGGAGATGCTTCCTCCATGGGGCATCATGCTCTTCATCTTGAGGGCTTCTTCAGGGTGGTTGAAGCGGAAGAAGGCTGACTGGCCAAAACACAGCATACAGCCTGGAAAACAGCACATAAAGTACATTATTTGTATTAATTTGTTCCACATATAAAGACACTGCCTCTAGAACGTACACAGGTCAAGTTATGATAAAATGAAATATTGTTATTATCTTGTCCCTTCACTTCCTCTGGTCAGCAGAATCATGGAGTTCACAAAGTTTAGAGCAGTTGCCACAGATGTTAAATGGAATGTGGATATATTTTCACTGACATTCGAATGTGGCAAAGACTATATTGTACTGAATGGAGCCAATCCCAACTTACATTGGGAGAGAGGTGGAATACACCCTGGACAGGTCGCCAGTCTATCAAAGGACTGACATTTAGAGACAGGCAACCACACACACACACACACACTCCTAGAGTCACCCAGGGTGCATGTCTTTGGACTGTGGGAGGAAGCCAGAGTACCCGGAAAGATCCCATGCAGGCATAGGGAAAACATGCAAACTCCGCACAGAAAGGCCCCGGGTCGGCCCGGGCTCCAACCCAGAACCTTCTTGCTGTGAGGCGACAGCACTAACCACCATGCCACTGTGCCACCCATACAGGAATGCACTAGGTGGCAAATTAGATGCTAGCACTGGTTTATGTGACCATATTTTATATATTACAGCAGAGTCTAAAGAATGCTCCTATGACTAATGTAAGTCAAATCAGATCAAATTTAATTCTATAACACTTTAAAAACAACATCCAGCTGACCAAAGTACTTTACATGGCAGAATAAAATCACAATAAATGACTAAAATAGAGTAAATAACATCAGTGCAAATAAAAATAAAACAGCACAATAACAAAGACACACAGTTAACATACGTTCAATAAATTAAAAATTAAAAGGAATGCATCAGGCCCTACTGTGTATTAAAATCCAAGCCAAATAAATGTTTTAGGCAATGATTTAAAAGTACTGAAGTCAGTAGCTGCCCTAACATTAAAAGGTAGACTCTTCCACAATTTAGGGGCTGCAATAGTAATGTGTATTTTACAACTTACAACTGTGTTAGACCTTACTTCTCCATAGCTCCTCTGCCTAGTGGAGGTTAATACCACTAGCTAGCTATCAACGAGCTCTATTTATCCACTGATTCATAAACATTTAGCCTGGCTCTGTGCAAAGTAAAAACAAAATCCTACCACCAAATGTCAAAATTATATTATATAACTCCCCATAAATATATAATTCACAATTTTTATATTTCTGTTTGTGAACAGACTTTTAAAGAAAAATCAAGATAGAATGTGTTGGTCCTAAAGAGGCCAGCCCTGCTTCCAGTATTGTGCTAAATTACACTAATCACCTGCTGGCTCTGGCTTCACAGTTAGCATACAGACATGAGAGGGGTGTCGATCTTCTCATCTAATACCCAATTAAGCAGATAAGATACTGACTGAATAATCAATTTGTCAGATGTCCATGTTCAATTCATTTAAGTTTCCATGTTCTCCCCGTGCCTGTGTGGGTTTCCTCCCCTAGTCCAAAGACCCGCAGGCTGGGCTGACTGGTGACTAGTCAGTAGGTGTGAATGATTGTCTGTCTGTGTCAGCCCTGTGACGGCCTGTCCAGGGTGTACCTCACCTCTTGCCTAGTGTCAGCTGGGATTGGCTTCAATCTAAATGCCTTTGTGTATTCTGTGTACACTCTGATGTGTCTTGCACACAAGTTAGGACTTCATCATCCACTTATAGAGAATTGCTGACTAGTATAGTGGTGGTGCTAATTACCACTTAAACTGAAACTTTATATTATTAAAATAAATGCCACATGCGGCACAGGCCATCTAGATACAGTTTTGCTTATTTGCTTTAGTATTTCTTTTTTTCAATACAAGGATGAAATAGTACAGAGGAAGTTTCCATCAGCATTCCCTAAAGTGGTCACAACACCATCTTCAGCATAAT